GCATAGATTAAAAAATCTTTTTAAAAAAGCTAAAGAAAAGGGATAAGATTTGTAATCTCTTAGCTTTAGGCTTTTTCCATCTAATTTCATTATTTTTGTCTTCTTGGTCATAAATTTCTTGATTTCTTGCCTATGAAATTTCAAGATATATTCTAAATGCGACAAAAAAAAAAAAAGGAAAAACCAACACTGGTTATAGTGCGGAAAATATTAGTATCAATTTTTTAGTTTGATAATAAAATTATGTGTTCTTACTAGATTTAAAGTGCTAAACATCACCATCCCACGTGGAAAAACCAAGAAATTGTAGAATCTCTAAATCCACATTTCAAAAATATATGAAAATAAATTATCACTTCAAATTATAAATCAAAATAAATAACTCATTTTTTAATATTTTTCATTAATAAATGTTGCTATAGCAAATAAAATTCTGATATTTTTGGTTAAAAAATGTTTGATTTATTTTGATTTATAATTTAAATGAATAATTTTTTTTTATTTTTTTATTTTTTCAAAGAGAGATAAATTCGGAGTTTTGCCTATTTCAACAATCTTTAACTTTTTCCCCAATCTCACTTTTCCATTAATTATATCAAGCATGATAGCACTGATTCCAAAAAGAAAAAGCTCCCCTGGTAAAATTATTTGGGAGATAAGTAGAAAATGTTCCAACAAAAGGTATAAGAGTACATTTCCAAAAAGTACTAGTTAAAAATTTGATTGCACGTTTATTTGTCCGAGATTTTGAAAAGAAACAAAAGTTATGGCAAAGCAGAAATTATACTAATAAATGCAAGTTTTTAAAGGCAAAACACTAATTTTTGGACATATCTTAGATTTTTAATTAAACTTTTAAATTTTTATTTAAATAAATAAGCTTATAAACTTGTAAATTCAGATAATTTAATCATCTTTTTTTGATAAATTTAACACTTTTTTATATTTTATTTACATAAATTAAATTAATATTTATTACATAAATAATGACCAATATTTTATTATCTCGATTCTTGAAAGGCTTAAAATGTTGGTCTGATGGTCGGTCATGGTAGGCCACCAGCTGGCCTATTAAGGCACAAAAGCCTGTGTTTCAGATTTTGGTTGGCCTTAACAAGGACCTAACCAATTATACCCAATCTAAAACATGTCACCAGTAAAGATTAAGGAACTCCTTGTTTCGTCCTTCAAAGGAATGCATGTCTAATGCTCCAATGCCATCGTTTCTTTCTATATATGTTAAATGTAGTAATCGCTCAACCTCATTCGAATTGTATGTTACTAAGAGTTTAATTAAATTGATATTTTATTAATTAAAAATTTTTAATTTGAGATTAATATTATAAGTTTAACTTTTTATCATATTAAATAATTAATTTTCTAATACATCAAAAATAAAATAAAATTTTACGTTGACTATTTAATTTTTTTCAATTGAATTTAGTTATCCCAATTTAAATTTTATATAAATTTTGACGAAATAATTTTATATAATAAATAGATAATAATTGTAATTTTTTTCTTTTAATATATAATTTTTATTGAGTATTTTCATTAAGATTAAAATAATTATAATTATTACATAAAATTATTTAATCAAATTTTCTACGAAAGTTAAACTAAAACAATTTAGTCTAAAGCGAAGATTTTTTTTTTTTCTAATTTTCCTAGTGTTAGGTTAAACATTTTCTTGTTCCATTTATTTACATATATTGGCCGGATTCTGATTCCATTATATAAACTAGATTTTTCCAGAAGAACGATCAAAGTTCATTTATAAACTATTATTTTGGACAAAGCCGCCGCGCTCCTCCAACACTTGACTATTTTTATTT